CTCTTCGTACTGTACTTTGTGTCATATTTTTGTGGTTAAAAAAAAAAAATAAATTGGGCTCAAAATGGATTAACCATTTTTAAATTGAACCTTTTGGGAAAATTTGATTCAGGTCGCGACCAATTTGGATCACGACCAGAGTCGCAGAACGAATTAAGTTCGTGAACCGAGGTACCACTGTACGAGTAAAACAAACTCAGTTTCTTTGCTAACTCAAACAGAGAGAATAGTCGATGTTGGGTGTCAGCGAATGCTGGTGTGTCATCCAAAACGTGGTGTGTCACAGGTTCACCAGCACTAGTCTAGCCTTTCTTTCCTTCCTTCCTTCCTTCCCAGCCCGGCGTAAATCGAAGCTCCCAGGCGACACGTCCCTCATGACCTACCGGGGCCATGGAGTGCTGCACACCCTGATCCGCTGCCGTTTCTCCCCTCCTCATAGCACCGGCCAGCAGTACATTTACAGTGGATGCTCCACAGGGCGGGTGGTAGGTGAGTGGCTCGGGAACCAGAGCGCCCTCGAGGCATATGGAGAAGAGACGGCAGGGGGACGGTTAGTACATCAGTTTGCTTGAATAGAGAATTGGGGTTGGGGAAGAGAGGGAATCTAGCGTTTAACTTAGGTGACTGCTGGAGTAGACATAGACCAGTGTTTCTTAACCCTGGCAGCTTGAAGATGTGTGGACTTCAACTCCCAGAATTCCCTGTGCTGGCTGGGGAATTCTGGGAGTTGAAGTCCACACATCTTCAAGAAGCCTAGGTTGAGAATCACTGACATAAACATTCCTCCCAAATGAAAGTCCCTCAAATGGCATTTGTCAAAATATGGGGGACTGAAAATGTAAAGACGTGAAACTTTCTCTTTAATATTCTTATTTCTGCTTTTAAATCAGGGCTTGTGGGACCATTGTAATGTTTTCCCAGGGATTATGCTGACAGAGTGACGTAAAGGGCAAACAGGAGCTGAGAAAGGCCCAGGTTATTTGTGCTTGAAAGACTTGGGGACCCTCTCTTTAATTTGACGGTCTGATGTCCAATTCACCCAGAGCCTCATGTTAGATCTTGGAGTGGCCCAAAGCCCTCCCGGACTCAGTATCCTCTCCTCTTCTCTCTTACCCTACCTTGCTGCTCATGTTCCTTTCTCCTCCCTTCCGCCCCCTTAGTGTATGATCTCCTGAGTGGCCTCATTGTGAAGAAACTGATCAATCACCAAGCATGCGTCCGGGATGTGAGTTGGCACCCCTACGAGGAGAAGATTGTCAGTAGCTCGGCAAGTATTGGGAATGGATGGAGGAGGAGGAGGAGAAGGAATTAGAACCATGCTTTTTTTGCTCTGATTGGCTCCCAGAGGAGAAGCAGCACCTTTTGCGGGGTTGTGTTCATTTTATGGCCTGTCCAAAGGAGTTAGGAAAGGCACCTTTTTCTAGCAAGAGTGCTCCAAGTTCTTTACAGTATTTATTTCTGTCTGGCCTTTGGGTCAAATTGTCAGCAGGGTGAGTCACTTTGAATTCCCAGTGGCTTTCCTCTAGCAGTCTGTTCTCTGCCCACTGCCAGGGGCTGGTGTGCTCCCCTTCAGCCCCGGCAGCTGTGACCAACAGCTGGAGCAGAACGTAATCATTTAGAAGCCTCTACTTCCTACCTTTATGGAGGCTGAGGAAGAGGGAACCTGGAGCAGGACCTCTTAGGCTGAGGTTGGAGTGCAGACTTAGCCATTTGTGGGGTGGAGGACATGTGCCCCATATTTTGAAATCAGATAGTCCCTGGAAGAAGACCATAGCTGGGGGACCCAGTTGGTTACAGTGGAAGGACTTGCATCTTTCAAGTGGCCTGTTATTTAGGGGCCTCTTATATTTTCCTGACACCTCTGCCCTCCCCCCAAATATGATGGTATACTAAACCCTAAATTGGGGCTAAGAAAACATAGTTGCTATGCTCTCGTTGCATGCTATGCCTGAACAAGGAAGTAAGACTCTGGCTTAATGTAATAACCTAGTTCACACAGCATACTGTGACCATTCCTGGTTTCCACAATGTGCTGAATAACCTTTTAGCTTTTTAGCCTAGTCTTACACATTGCGCAAATCCAGGGCACTTGTTTCTTAAACCGGCACAGTAGAAGAGAGCCCTTAATATGCTAAGTAATACCTGAGTAGAAGCAATGAACAACTTCTTCTCTCTTGGTTACAGTGGGATGGAAATGTGTGTCTCTGGGAGTATCACCAAACAGAATATGATGAAGATGATCTTGGAGACCCCAAGCAGCTTCTAACTACCAGAGAAAAGTACCCCAAGTTGGCAGGAGCCCCACACCAGTAGCCTTTTCTTGCTGTTTGCTGCTGTTCTCCAGTTTTGGACTTGCTGAGGGCTGTCAGTGAGGGGAAATATGTCTTGTCTTGCCAATGGTTTGAGGGTGTTTGAGAGGATGGGAAGGTGAAAGTGTCATGTTAACACACCCCTCCTGAGTTACAGCTCTTCCATCACTGAAACCTTAGGCATAATTGGCTTGAGGAAATGGGTATCATTCCGTATGCGGATCATAAGGATAGTTAGATGACAATTAAGAGAAAAGTTTGCAGGCAAAAGAAATGACAGAAACAACACAGCTGGATGTCTTTGTCTCATGACTCTGGAGCCCTCCGGATGAGTTGGCCTCCCATCCCACCAATCTTGGTCTGATGGTCAAGTGAGGCTGTTGCTAGGGGATGAGGGGCATTGTAATCCACAACATCTTGAGGGCTAAGGCCGGGGACAGTGGCACCGGTCGCCCCTGAGGGCACTTGGAATGAAACCTACTGTTTAGGGGCATAAAATCATGAAGCAAAACTGCCCCAACAGCGGTCGGTCCTTGCTGGCTCTGGGCAGGTACTCCCCCTGCCTCCCTGTAGAACGGCCTCAGCAACGTATAGGATTGTTGGCCACCTTAGCAAAGAAGGTGGAAGCAACTAGATTCTTTCATGCCTTTTCGGGGCACCTTGTAAGACTTGACCTCGTTCTGGAGCTTATCAGGGAATGGAAAAATTCATTTTCTCTAGGTCTGAGCAGTTGAGAGGCGATGCGGGTAGTGGCAGCTGCATGCAGTCTTCAAATAGAAACCTGTGGGTTGAGATCCTGAAAGATCCCTTGTGTTCAGAAGATCCTCTAGGACAGTGTTTCTCAACTTTGGCCACTTGAAGATGGGTGGAGTTCAACTCCCAGAGTTTCTGAGCCAGCATGGCTGGCTAGGGAATTCTGGGAGTTGAAGTCCACCCATCTTCAAGTGGCCAAAGTTGAGAAACACTGCTCTAGGATGACTGAAACGGCTCCCCCTTTGTTTGAAGAGGGATGGCATGTGTTCACTGACGCTTACGATTCTCTGGGCCTTGCAGGACATTTCTAGGGCGATGAGAAAATGTCGCCTGTTTTTATAGACTCTGGCAGAGGGACAGTTGAACTAAAGATGGGGGTGGTACATTTCGTTCTTCCTGTGCAGCTGCCAGCCTCTTCCTCTTCTCTCAGATGCTCATTCCCATATTTTTGCTTCACATTGACCCCCAAATCTCCCCATTGCCCTCAGTCATCCCAAGGACCAGGGGCTCCTCTCTGCCCCTTCCTTCTGAAGGGGCAGGCCTCTTTAGAAAGGGGTAGGGGCGGGCGTCATCTTTAGCTTTTTCCTCTTGAGCAAAGGTGGCTGCGCGGGGGGTCCCAGCTCCGGGGTTCCTGCTGCGGCTGCTCCATATCGTTTGCTGTGTTTCCGAAATGGCCTCACCTCCCCTGTAAATATAACAGTGAGGCTTCTGCAAGGTGCCTTTCTGGCACCCGAAGAGTTTTTTAAAAAATAAGTGGGTTGAATGGGTGACTGAAGAGTGCTGCGTGTTGCTTTTAAGTGTGAGGAAGCAGGAGAAATCCTGGTTCATTTTCTCTAGTTGAAGGAGGAGCCCTCCATCCTGCCCCCACATCCTGCCTTCTGGGTGAGAGAGGGCCATCCTGGGGTTCATTTCCAAATCTTGGTTTTGTAGGCGGGAGGGGGGTGGTCTGCACATCTCTGTTCGGGGGTTCTGCAAACAGCTGTCCGTGTCAATAAAAGTGGTTGAAATTTGATTTGTTTGGATTCCTGCTTTTCCTTCCCCTGCACCCAGAGTGCAGGGCTGGCTTCTAACACACTGCAGGGCAGTGCCTCTTCCCCAGCCACCCTCCCTGCTCCCCTAATCCGCTTGCCATTCTGTCCTTCTCTTCTTTTGCCTTCGATCAGCTGTTCACGCTGACCTTGGCGAGGTGCCCGCAGCTGTCCCTGGGTGTCAGTTTTGTGTGACGTTTTTCCGTTGACTCTTTTCCCCTTCGTCCCCCGGCAGAGGAGGCCGGGGCATCTTTGCGACCTCCTTCAGGTGGGCTGACCCGAGGGGAGGGGATGGCGGACGGATCGGGCCCCAAGAGGTCCTCCTCTCTGCTGGCCTTGGGTGCTGGGTGGGCCCAAGCCCTGGGCCAGGCCCTGGTGGTTTTCTGGAGCAACCAGTACGCTTGGCTCCTTGGGGTGCCAGGCCTCCGTCGCGCTTACCACCTCTGGCTGGCGGCTGTGGTAATTTTTGGCCCCCTACTTCAGTTCTACGTGAACCCCCGGGCAATCTTTGCCAATCATCATAACTTCTTTAACATGTGAGTATCCTGGGGTCTAGGGTGCCAGTGTATTAAGCAGGGGGCAAGCATGGTGGGGGCAGAGATCAGCTTGGAGGAAAGAAGCCTTTGGGGACTAAACGCTCTTTGCACATCACCAAATAGAGTAAGGTCACCCAAGGTGATTCCATTCCTCCATCCTTATCAGCTTCCTATATCAGGATGTCCTTGATTTCAATGTTCATTCGTTAGTATCTTTTCTGTTATCCATTCTCTGGTCAGCAACGTCTCCCCATTCTCTGCCTTGTTGCATCGTCATAACTTGAATGAAAAATCTGTAATTCACAGCCACTCTCTTATATGGAGCAAGGAGTACCATATTGATGTGGGATGTGGTGATCTTTGCTTGTCCAGTGGCTGTTTCCCTCTCTGGCCCCTGCCTCGGTTCTCCCGGGCCCTTTCAGACCTGTGATTCTCACTGCCCCCACCCCCTTCTCTTCCCCCGCAGAAAATTTGTCCGGTCTGCCTGGGGCTGGACCTGCATTTTCTTAGGTGGCTTCATCCTCCTGGTCGTCTACCTGCCCACCCACCAGATCCTGCTCACCGCCCGTCATCTTGCCCGCTTGGCGGTGGGGGCCGGCCTCTGGCTGGGGGCCACCCAAGCCTTCCTGCTGATCGAAAACCTCACCGGCTACTGCTTTGACCCTGTGCCAGAGGGCCTCCTGGTGAACAGCCTCCCGGACAAGTGGACATGTCTGCACGAAGGCCACAAGTGGCACGGGTACGACGTCTCGGACCACACCTTCCTGCTCACTTTCTGCTGCCTGCTGATGGTAGAGGAGACGGCCATCTTCCGGCGCTACCTGGCCCAGGGGCACCCTGCCGGGCTCCCCCTGCGCCTGATCTTCCTCCTCAACATCCTCCTCCTCCTCCTCTGGAACTTCCTGCTGGCCTGCACCGTGGTCTACCTCTACGACTACAGCCACAAAGTCGTGGGAGCCGCCATCGCCACCCTGTGCTGGTTCCTCACCTACCGGTGCTGGTACCGCTGCCCCTGCTCCCCGGGCAGACCCGGGGCGGGCCTCTTCCTTAGGGGGGCCCCCAGAGAGGCCGCGAGGCAGAACTGAGCGTCTCCTGAAGTCGGGGTGCCCAAATAAAGAGAGGACTGTTTCCAACGCTCTTCGTTGAGCTTCTTTGTGGTTTCGGGGAGGGGGTCCGGAGAGATCCAAAGAAGCGTTTGGGGTCTCGTTCTGCGTGGAAGCGAAATTCCGCTGCACGTTCCACCAAAGGGGCTCGTGGCCCCGAGTCTCTCCCTCCCTCTCCCCTCCTTTTAACCCGTCGCCTACTTCTCAACCCGGTCGCTTTAAGAAACTTTTTTAAGCCACCAGCTAGGTGGTGCTGGTGGTGGTGATCGGTGGCAGCCTCTTTGGCAACCTGGTGCCAGGCTGGCTAAGGATTCTGGGCAGCCCGCTCCACGGTTGGGGCAAACGACCCCTCTCGCCGCCTGGCTCCCCTCCCAGCGGAGGGAGGCGCGCCGGCTCCTTGGCCGAGCGCAGAGCCCACCGCCGGGATCCCTCGCAGCGAAATAAATCGC